AGGGATTAAACAATTCCCAGACAAGTAAAAGTTGAGGTAATTTGCCTCCCACAAACCACATCTACAGGGTATCTTAGAGGGACTGCTCTAGATGGGAGCACTCCTAAAAAGAGCACAGAACAAAACACCCAACATATGAAGAATGGAGGAGGAGAAATAAGAAGGGAAAGAAATAAAGAATCATCAAAGTGTGTTTATAATAGCTCAATAAGTGAGTTAAGTTAGACAGTAAGGTAGTAAAGAAGCTAACCTTGAACTTTTGGTAATAACCACGAAACTAAAGCCTGCAATGGCAATAAGTACATATCTTTCAATAATCACCCTAAATGTAAATGGACTGAATGCACCAATCAAAAGACACAGAGTAATAGAATGGATAAAAAAGGAAGACCCATCTATATGCTGCTTACAAGAGACTCACCTCAAACCCAAAGACATGTACAGATTAAAAGTCAAGGGATGGAAATAGATATTTCATGCAAACAACAGGGAGAAAAAAAGGAGGTGTTGCAGTACTAGTATCAGACAAAATAGACTTCAAAACAAAGACAGTAACAAGAGATAAAGAAGGACATTACATAATGATAAAGGGCTCAGTCCAACAAGAGGATATAACCATTATAAACATATATGCACCCAATACAGGAGCACCAACATATGTGAAACAAATACTAACAAAATTAAAGGAGGAAATAGAATGCAATGCGTTCATTTTGGGAGACTTCAACACACCACTCATTCAAAAGGACAGATCCACCAGACAGAAAATAAGTAAGGACACAGAGGCACTGAACAACACACTAGAACAGATGGACCTAAAAGACATCTATAGAACTCTACATCCAAAAGCAACAGGATACACATTGTTCTCAAGTGCACATGGAACATTCTCCAGAATAGACCGTATACTAGGCCACAAAAAGGGCCTCAGTAAATTCCATAAGATTGAAATCCTACCAACCAACTTTTCAGACCACAAAGGGATAAAACTAGAAATAAATTGTACAAAGAAAACAAAAAGGCTCACAAACACATGGAGGCTTAACAACATGCTACTAAATAATCAATGGATCAATGACCAAATTAAAATGGAGATCCAGCAATATATGGAAACAAATGACAACAAAAACACAAAGCCCCAACTTCTGTGGAATGCAGTGAAAGCAGTCTTAAGAGGAAAGTATATAGCAATCCAGGCCTATTTAAAGAAGGAAGAACAATCCCAAATGAATAGTCTAATGTCACAATTATTAAAATTGGAAAAAGAAGAACAAATGAGGCCGAAGGTCAGCAGAAGGTAGGACATAATAAAGGTCAGAGAAGAAATAAATAAAATTAAGAAGAAGAAAACAATAGAAAAAATCAATGAAACCAAGAGCTGGTTCTTCGAGAAAATAAACAAAATAGATAAGCCTCTAGCCAGACTTATTAAGTGAAAAAGACAGCCAACACACGTCAACAGAATCAGAAACGAGAAAGGAAAAATCACAACGGACCCCCCAGAAATACAAAGAATTATTAGAGAATGCTATGAAAACCTATATGCTAACAAGCTGGAAAACCTAGGAGAAATGGACAACTTTCTAGAAAAATACAACCTCCCAAGACTGACCAAGGAAGAAACAGAAAATCTAAACAGGCCAATTACCAGCAATGAAATTGAAGCGGTGATCAAAAAACTACCCAAGAACAAAACCCTTGGGTCAGATGGATTTACCTCAGAATTTTATCAGACATATAGAGAAGACATAATACCCATTCGCCTTAAAGTTTTCCAAAAAATAGAAGAGGAGGGACTACTCCCAAACTCATTCTATGAAGCCAACATCACCCTAATACCAAAACCAGGCAAAGACCCCACCAAAAAAGAAAACTACAGACCAATATCCCTGATGAACGTAGATGCAAAAATACTCAACAAAATACTAGCAAACCAAATTCAAAAATACATCAAAAGGATCATACACCATGACCAAGTGGGATTCATCCCAGGGATGCAAGGATGGTACAACATTCGAAAATCCATCAACATCATCCACCACATCAAGAAAAAGAAGGATAAAACTCACATGATCATTTCCATAGATGCTGAAAAAGCATTCGACAAAATTCAACATCCATTCATGATAATATCTCTCAAAAAAATGGGCATAGAGGGCAAGTACCTCAACATAATAAAGGCCATATATGACAAACCCATAGCTAACATACTGGACAGTGAGAGGCTGAAAGCTTTTCCTCTGAGATCGGGAACAAGACAGGGATGCAACTCTCCCCACTGTTATTCAACATTGTACTGGAGGTCCTAGGCATGGCAACTAGACAAAACAAAGAAATACAAGGAATCCAGATTGGTAAAGAAGAAGCCAAATTGTCACTATTTGCAGATGACATGATATTGTACATAAAAAACCCTAAAGACTCCACTCCACAACTACTAGAACTAATATCAGAATTCAGCAGTTGCAGGATACAAAATTAACACACAGAAATCTGAGGCTTTCCTATACACTAACAATGAACTAATAGAAAGAGAAATCAGGAAAACAATTCCATTCACAATAGCATCAAAAAGAATAAAATGCCTAGGAATAAACCTAACCAAGCAAGTGAAAGACCTATACCCTGAAAACTACAAGACATTCCCATGCTCCTGGCTAGGAAGAATTAATATTGTCAAAATGGCCATCCTGCCCAAAGCAATATACAGATTCGATGCAATCCCTATCAAATTACCAACAGCATTCTTCAATGAACTGGAACAAATAGTTCAAAAATTCGTATGGAACCATCAAAGACCCTGAACAGCCAAAGCAATCCTGAGAAGGAAGAATAAAGTGGGAGGGGATCTCGCTCACCAATTTCAAGCTCTACTACAAAGCTGCAGTAATCAAGACAATTTGGTACTGGCACAAGAACAGAGCCACAGACCAGTGGAACAGAATAGAGACTCCAAACATTCACCCAAACATATATGGTCAATTAATATACGATAAAGGAGCCATGACATACAATGGGGAAATGACAGTCTCTTCAACAGATGGTGCTGGCAAAACTGGACACTACATGTAAGAGAATGAAACTGGATCACTGTCTAACCCCATACACAAAAGTAAATATGAAATGGATCAAAGACCTGAATGTAAGTCATGAAACCATAAAACTCTTAGAAAAAACATAGGTAAAATCTCTTAGACATAAACATGAGTGACTTCTTCATGAACATATCTCCCTGGGCAAGGGAAACAAAAGCAAAAATGAACAGGTGGGACTATATCAAGCTGAAAAGCTTCTGTACAGCAAAGGACACCATCAATAGAACAAAAAGGTACCCTACAGTTTGGGAGAATATATTCATAAATGGAAGATCCAATAAAGGGTTGACATCTAAAACATATAAAGAGCTCACACACCTCAACAAACAAAAAGCAAGTAATCCAATTAAAAAATGGGCAGAGGAGCTGAATAGACAGTTCTCTAAAGAAGAAATTCAGATGGCCAACAGACACATGAAAAGATGCTCCACATTGCTTGTCATCAGAGAAATGCAAATTAAAACCACAATGAGATATCACCTCACATCAGTAAGGATCACCACCATCCAAAAGACAAGCAACAACAAATGTTGGTGAGGTTGTGGTGAAAGCGGAACCCTCCTACACTGTTGGTGGGAATGTAAATTAGTTCAACCATTGTGGAAAGCAGTATGGAGGTTCCTCAAAATGCTTAAAATAGAAATACCGTTTGACCCAGGAATTCCACTTCTAGGAATTTACCCTAAGAATGCAGCAGCCCAGTTTGAAAAAGACAGATGCACCCCTATGTTTATCGCAGCACTATTTACAATAGCCAAGAAATGGAAACAACCGAAATGTCCATCAGTAGGTGAATGGATAAAGAAGAAGTGGTACATATACACAATGGAATATTATTCAGCCATAAGAAGAAAACAAATCCTACCATTTGCAACAACATGGATGGAGCTAGAGAGTATTATGCTCAGTGAAATAAGCCAGGCGGAGAAAGACAAGTACCAAATGATTTCACTCATATGTGGAGTATAAGAGCAAAGAAAAACTGAAGGAACAAAACAGCAGCAGAATCACAGAACTCAGGAATGGACTAACAGTTACCAAAGGGAAAGGGACTGGGGAAGATAGGTGGGAAGGGAGGGATAAGAGCGGAAAAAGGAAAGGGGGCATTACAATTAGCATGTATAATGTGTGGGAGAGGGGGTATGGGGTGGGCTCTACAACACAGAGAAGACAAGTAGTGATTTTACAGCCTCTTACTACACTGATGGACAGTGACTGTGAAGGGGTACATGGGGGGGACTTGGTGAAAGGGGGAGCCTAGTAAACATAATGCTCTTCATGTAATTGTAGATTAATGATACCAAAATAAAATAAAATGTTGGTATACTATAAAATAAAAATAAATGTTGGTATATTTCCTCCTAGCCTTTTATAACATACATTTATCATTTCTATCCTGTTTTTTTACTTAATGCTGACATTTTTGCATTCGTTATCATCATAAAAATCACTTTAAATGGTTGCCTAATACTTCAGATAGACTTTTAAAGGTTAAGTCATAAAAGAGAAGTAAGGGTTCCTTAAGTGAGCTGCACTGCTTCCTTTCCAGTAAGTAGGTCTCCAGCCTCCTGAGTCACCCCACTTTGAGTAACACTGGCTCTCTGCAGTCTATGGAGGAAGGTGCTGGGCTACATTGTCTCCTGTGGATCTATCTAATGGCTCATTCTTGATATGCTGCCTGTTTTTTCTTGTTCGTTCCTTTTGTGTTGCCTCATAATCACTCTCTGCGCATTTGTTTGGAGCATAGGTTTGATCGTAGCTGTTTCATTGCAACAGGATATCCCAGAGCCATTTGCAGGGCTGCCTTCCTGCTGAGTTCAGTCTCGAGGAGCCTGTCGGAACCAGTTCTTCTGGGGAGACTGGACTAGAGCCAGCACCAAGCTCACATTTGTCTGTTGATTGCAGGCCTTCAGCTGAACCAAAAGGCTCTCACCACTTTCCCGGATGTGGTGCTTGTTCGGGTGCCCACACCCTCCGTGCAGTCAGACAGTGACATCACAGTCCTGCGACACTTGGAGAAGTTGGGCTGCCGCTTAGTCAACCGCCCACAGAGCATTTTAAACTGCATCAACAAATTCTGGACATTCCAAGAGCTGGCTGGACATGGTGTCCCCATGCCAGACACCTTCTCCTATGGTGAGTGTCCTTGAAACAGGGTTGGAACTTATCTTTTCAAAGCCTTGCAAGTCTATGTTTTCTTTCCCCAGAAGCTCTCTAGTATCTTACTGGTTTTCAAGGGGAATCTGTTTATCTTAGGTGATTCAACATCTTGAGTCTTTATCATGGACGTGTTTGTGGCCTGACATGTAGTCTATCCTGGAAAATGTTTCATGTGAACTTGAAAAGAATGTATACTCAGCTGTTTTGGGATGGATGTTCTGTATATATTTGTTAATTCCATCTGGTCTAATGTGTCATTCAAAACCACTGAATAGACACTTTTCTAAAGAAGACATACAGATATGGCAGACATACGCATGAGAAGATGCTCAACATCACTAATGATTAGGAAAATGCAAATCCAAACCATAATGAGCTATCATTATGAGCTATCACCTCACATCTGTCAGAATGGTTAGATCAAAAAGATAAGAAATAAGAGTCAGTGAGGATGTAGAGAAAAGGGAACCCTCATGCACTGTTGATGGGAACATAAATTGGAGCAGTCACTGTGGAAAATAGTATGGCGGTTCCTCAAAAAATTAACTCTAGAAATACCATACAATCAAGAAATTCTACTTCTGTGTATTTACCCAGAGAAAATGAAAACACTAATTCAAAAATATATATGCACCTATGTCCATTGTAGCATTATTTACAACAACCAAGATATGGAAGCAACTTAAGTATCCATCAGTAGATGAATGGATAAAGAAGATATATATTGAATCTTACTCAGCCATAAAAAAAGAATGAAATCCTGCCTTTTTTGACAACATGGATGGACCTAGACACAGACTGGTAGGTGAGGGGCCGGGGTTGTCAGGAGGAAGGATTTCCGTTTGGAACACATTCTGTTTGAGGTGTCTATAGTATATGGAAGTAAAAATAGTCAGAAGGTAGCAGATAAATGGATTTGGATCTCCTGAGAAAGGTGTAGACTGGGGAAGTGGATTTAGAAACCTTCATTTTGTTAAGTGAAGTCATAGGAATGGATGAGGTTATTCAGAGAGAAATATGTAGAATGAAGAGAAGACTGAACTGTACACCTTAGTGGTTAAAATGGTAAATTGTATGTTATGTACATTTTGCCACAATAAAAATAAAGTTGAATAAAAGAGGATTCAAGAGAGAATACTTTCAGGAAAGGGAAGAGGAACCTATACAAAAGACTGAGTAGGAGCAACTGGAAAGGTGCAAACAAAAAGGAGATAACAGAAGCCAGTAGGAAGAGCATTGCAAGAAGGGTGGCATGCCTGGAAGTGGTGTTTGGTTCTGAGAGCACAGATAATGTAAGCACTGGGACGTGTTGGGTTTAGCAACAGGGGGTTTAACAAATACAGTTCCAGTTTAGTGATAGGGAGAGAAACCAAATTGTCATGGGTGAGGAAATGGAAATCCTTTTGAGTAGCTTGATTCTAGGGATACAGAGCTGTAGTTAAGGGATGGTGCAGGTCAAGGAACAGGGGTTTTATTTGTTTAAGATGGGAGAGAATTGAGCGTGTTTAAAATGATGTCAGAATTAGGAACAGGAAGTTGAAGATACAGCAGAGAGGAGACTCTTAATGGTGTATGATTCCTGAGGTGATGGGAGGGAATTGGGTCCCCAGCATAGGTACAGAGATGACCTTAGATAAGAAGGACCCCTCTTTTAATGTACTATAAGGGAAGGAAAAACAGGAGGGCTAGAGAAGAGTTAAATGTATCAGCAAATGTCAGAAGTTGGGAGTTCCCATCTTATAAAACATCCTCTTTATGATGATGCCCCTGTATCTACACTGCCTTTTCATGTTTTGTCTTGTTTTTTTCAGTCATTAGGACTTTTGTGAATGAAACAGGTCTTAGTAGTATTCCAGAGTATTTTGCTTTGCAAAAATTGATGAACTACAATACCCCGTGAAAGGCAGAATAATGGTCCCCCAAAGATTCAAATGTATAGGAAAGCAAGGAAGTTTGTAAAGCAATTTATAAAGATTTTAATATACATTATTATTCATATTTTTAAAATTAAGAATTAAAGGAATATAGTAGAGCCAGTTCAGGCTTTGGAGTCATGCCTTAACTTTAGGTAGGACAAATGCCCAGGCTTGGTTTCTTTGGATATTGGTTTTCTGTTGCTGCACAACAAACTCCTGAAAATTTAGAACCTTAATATAATACCCATTTATTATCTGTCAGTTTCTGTAGGTCAGAAGTCCAGCCACAGCATAGCTCTCCCAGTTCTCTGCTCAGGTCTCACCACGCTAAAATCAAAGGACACCTGTGATCTCATCTGTGGTCTGAGGTCTTCCAAGCTCACTGATTGTTGGCATTCAGTTTCATGCATTTGTTGGGCTGAGGTCCCCACATTCTCACTGGCTATCAACTGAGGGCCATTCTCAGCTTCTAGAAGCTGCCCGCTGTCCCTGCCACATGGCCTTCTTTATAGCATGGCAGTTTGTTCCTTCACGGCCAGCAGGAGAGTCTCTCTGGTGCCTCACCTTCCTTTAAAGGGCTCACCTGATTAGGTCAGGCCCCCACACCCTTTTGATGAACTCCAAGTAAACTGATTATTAACCTAATCACAGGAATGCTAGCCCATCATATTCCCTGGTCCCTCCCACACTCAAGAGAGGTGATTATATAGAGCAAGTACCACCAGCAAGTAGGAATCCTGGGGGCCAACTTGGAATTCTGCCTACTTTAGCCATTTAAAGGGACAAGTACCTGCCCTGCCTATGGGATTGTTATGAGGATTACATGCTCTAGAGCATGTGAAGCCTTTGCCACATAGAAGTATTGATAAGTGTTGGTTTCCTTATCTCTCAGCTCCCACCTTTGATATTACAGGTGCACAGTGCATGTCTGTCAGATTGAATGGGTCCGAATTGCTTTCATCAGAGGGACATGAGGCCTTGAAAGCATTCTCATAGAGGGGCAGCGCTGGGCTGAACCATTCCCATCAGCCTTACCTTCATTGATTTTCACCTTTTCTTGGCAGGTGGGCATGAAGACTTTTCAAAAATGATTGATGAAGCCGAGCCCCTGGGCTACCCGGTTGTGGTGAAGAGCACGCGAGGACACCGGGGTCAGTGCTGCTCCCGCTGGGTTCCCGCTGGGGCTGTGGCTCTGCCCCAACAGAGCCCTCATCAGGCGTGGTGGGGGGCGCCACCTGGGGAAATGGAGCTCCCTCCTGAGGGGCTTGCAGTGTGGCCCCTCCCTCGCTTCCTCCTCACGGTTGGTCCCCACCATCCTTGCTTTGGGCAGACGCGTCACGTCCGTTCCTGTCCGTTCCCTGGACTCTTTCAGCAGACTCCTGACTTGACTCTGACTGGTTTCCCTAACTCCTCTGCCAGTACATCCAGTATTCTTTTTGGGACATAATTTCTCTGAAACATAGGTCTATTCCTTTCACTCCCTTGCTGAAAACCCTCCCAAGAGACTGTTGTCTATGAGACAAAGTCCGTATATTCCTCCCCATCGTGCTGAAGGCCCTGGATGGACAGCCTCTGCCTTCCCTTGCAGCCTTCTCTGGCCATGTGAGCCCTCCGTAATCCATTCCATACTTCTCTTTCACCAGCTAGACCATGTGCTTTCCCCTCTTTAAACCTCTGCTCTCTTCTCTTTGCTGGGAATGCCATCTTCCTCTGTCCTCTAGTGAACTTATGCTCATCCTTTAAGCCAGTCCAGATGTCATTTCTTTTCCTTCTGCATCCCTGCTCTCCCTCCCTCGCTTCCAGACAAAATTACTTGCTCCTCTCTTCCTGTTTCTGTAGCACTTTGCTCATGCCTCTGGCATAGTGTTACGCTGCAGGACAGTTAGAGGTTCATGTGCCTTTCCCCCTTGACTGAGCTGCGCAGGGGTGGGAACAGATCCTGTGCATCTCTGTCTCTTAACACCTACTGCAGTACCCAGTACACAGTGGGGCCCCTGTCATTGATGAAGAGCACGTATGCAGCAGAAAGCAGTCCTCCTGCGGTGTCTGAGCAGGCACCTCCTAATGACGTCCAGATGGCATATGCTCAGGGCATCTGGAGTGAGAAGAGTACCCTAAATGGACATGTGATGAGCCATTCCTGTGATGGAGGGACTGTGCAGTGGAAATGAGCTAGACCAGTCCGTGCTCTCCAGGGGCTTCTGGGTGTACAGAGTAGGTCACATTGCAGGGTGATGACTGCTGTGGTCGGCATATCCAGGTGCACGCCTGAGCCCAACAGGGCCAAGTGTGCCGCGAGGTGGGGAAAGCATTGTTAGAAGAGAAGGGACTTCAGTGGGAGTGTGGGATTTGAACTGGAGGAAGCAAATGAGCAAACATGCAGAAGCAGGTGTGAGCTCAGTGACCTGTGCGAGGAGAGGGGTCCTGCTAATTAAGAGAAATGACTTAGATAGCAAGGTGGGGCCCTTCGTGCTATTCAGATATGCCACAGTGCTAACAGTCAGTGTCTCTCAACTGACTTTTTTTTATTGTGGTAAAATATACATAACAAAATTCAACTAATACTCACTGAATGCCTACAAAATGCCAGGGACTCTGCTAGGCACTCGGAGTATAGAAAGGAACAAAACAAAAATTTCTGCCCTCAAAGAGTTCACACTATAGAATGGTAAGGCAGACAATAAACAGAAATTGAACTGACTATGTAGTATTTGTAAATGTTTTAAAAATTGAGTTACAGTTCACATAACAAAAAGTTCACCATTTTAAGTGAATTTTAGTATATTCACTATACTAAGTTCAGCAGATTTTAGTATATTCATTATAGTGTACCACCACCACCACTATCTAATTTCAGAACATTTCTGTCACCCTGAAAAGAAATCCCATTTCCATTAGCAATCAGTCAACCCTAGTCACCCTTCCCCTAGTTCCAACAACCACTAACCTACTTCCTGTTCATGAATTTGCCTATTTTGGACATTTCATATTCATGCAGTCAGACACTGTGTGGCATCTTGTGTCTGGCTTCTTTCACCTAACAGTCTCTTCAAGGGTCATATATGCTGTAGTGTGGACCAGTACTTTATTCATTTTCATGATTCAGTAATATTCTGTTGTATGGATAATACCACATTTTATCTATCTTTCATTGGTTGATGGACATTTAGGTTTTACCACTTTGTGGCTCTTATGAATAATGCTCCTGTGAACATTTGTATACAAGTTTTTGTGTAAACATAAGTCTTCATTTCTCTTGGGCATATACCTAAGGGTGAAATTGCTGTGTCATATGGTAACCCTATGTTTAACATTAGAGGAACTGCCAAACTGTTTTCCACAGCAGTTACACCATTTTACATTACCACCAGCAGTGTATGAGATTTTTTCTACATCCTCCCCAACCCTCAATTTTATAATTTTATATTATGTATATTTTATCTCAGTTTTATTCATTCATTCATTTATTATTGATTTTTTTAAGGAATACTAAATAAAACTTTTGTATTGCATATATTAATTTGAAAGTTTATAGCTTGAAAAATAAGCAGGCTTAATTTTAGAATGTAAGTATATGAATGTCCATTTTGCCTTGACAAATTAAGTAATTAGTCACCATACCTCTCTCATAAAAGCAAACCACAAACCAAAATGCATGTTTTCCAAGCATTAGTAATGTATGGGCCCACTTTATTATTTTAGTTTAAAAAATTTTTTTAACTGAGGTATAATTCACATACAATATTATGTTAGTTTCAAATGTACAAGATTCAATATTTGTGTATGTTGCAAAATGATCACTACAATAAGTCTAGCTAACATCCATCATCTTATATAGTTGAAGAATTTTCTTGTGATAAGTATTTTTTTTTTTTGAGAGGGCATCTCTCATATTTATTGATCAAATGGTTGTTAACAACAATACAATTCAGTATAGGGGGGTCAATGCTCAATGTACAATCATTAATCCATCTCAAGTCTAATTCTCGTCAGTCTCCAATCTTCTGAAGCATAACGAACAAGTTCTTACATGGTGAACGAATTCTTACAGAGTGAATAAATTCTTACATGGTGAACAGTACAAGGGCATTCATCACAGAAACTTTCGGTTTTGATCATGCAATATGACCTATAAACAATCAGGTCAAATATGAATATTTGTTTGATTTTTGTACTTGATTTATATGTTGATCCCACATTTCTCCTATTATTATTATTATTTTTATTTTTAATAAAATGCTGAAGTGGTAGGTAGATGCAAGATAAAGGTAGAAAACATAGTTTAGTGCTGTAAGAAGGCAAATGTAGATGATCAGATGATCAGGTGTGTGCCTATGGACTAAGTATTAATCCAGGCTAGACAAGGGCAGCAAGACATCCACGGATGCAGAAGATTTCTCTCAAAGCAGGGGGGGTGAGGTTCTGAGCCTCACCTCTGTTGATCCCCAAATTCTCACCTGATGGCCCCCCTGCGACTGTGCCTGTCTTAGGTTGTTCCTCCCTTGAGGAATCTTACCCGTCTCTGGCTAACCAGTCATCTTCCGGGGCCATACAGGGAAATGTAAAGTTGGTAAGTGAGAGAGAAGCCATATTGTTTGCAAAGGTTAGCTTTTTACTTCTTTGCAGATTTATGCCCTGTGGCTTCTATGCCCAGCACTTGTCTCGAGGTATCTTTACCACCTGGAGGAATTATGATACTCGGTAAATTCGATATGAGGCACGAATTCTATTTAAGGGTTGTAATTAGGAAGGAAGAAGAAAAGCTATAGATGTAGCATATGAAGGAAACTTGGGAGGATTGATTATTTCTTTGACATATCTTCTTGTATAGTACCTTAAGTATGTATAGGTTTTAAACTACTAACTAATTTGCACACACATATTAACATAATAGGAATACGGTGACATAAACAAAGCAAATCTATAATTACCAGCCATCTCCAGTGAAGCCAAGAAAACCATTTAGGCACCCTAGGCATTTGTGAAAATTTATCTATGATATGATGGATATTTTCCAACTGTACTTGAACCATCAGACAAATTAAAGCAGCCCATTTCTGGGATCTGTTCACATCCCATATGTTCTTTTAACCATAGATAGTCTATAGTCATGAGATTTTGGGGTGCTACAACTTGCACCCCTCCCAACTCCTGGTTGAGTTCCAACAGTACAGATCCAGTCAAATTCGTTGTCTCACTGTATGCACATGCCAGCCTAGACATCTCCCTCCTCCTTCTTATGGCAAGTCCAGGAGACGGTGGGCTGGATGCAGCCACAACCGCAGCATCGTCCGGATCCCTGTGGAGGCTTTTTGATGATCATCCCCCGGCACGAGTCCTCCAGAGAGTGCTGATGCCGGAAGCTCCTCCTCATATCGTATCTTAGTTCATTTTCTGGGTATCCAAGCTAGGCCTTGATCTTCTGCGTAGAAACAAACAGACCCTTTGCCCACACTTTGACATGCCCTCTATACCACTGTGCAGAACTCATTGGAGGTCAGCACACAGTAACTGCTTTTTTTTTTTTTTTTTAATTAAGAGAAAGGAATATTATCAGAAAAGAGTACCTCCATAGCTGATCATCTGACACCCTTTAAGTGATCAACATTAAGGATATTTAAAGCATGCGTTGATCTTTGATTTACCAATAGTTTTATCCTGTTAAGGAGTAATCCCCCTTTTCTTTCTTTCTTTCTTTTTTTTTTTTAAATTTTTAATCTACACTTACCTGAAGAATACTATGTTTACTATGCTCTCCCCTATATCAGGTCCCCCCTAACAACCACATTACGGTTACTGTCCATCAGCTTAGCAAAATGTGGTAGAGTCACTACTTGTCCTCTCTGTGTTGTGCAGCCCACCCTCCCCTTTCTCCCTCCCCCCCATGCATGCTAATCTTAATACCCCCCTTCTTCTTCCCCCCCCTTATCCCTCCCTGCCCACCCATCCTCCCCAGTTCCTTTCCCTTTGGTACCTGTTAGTCCATTTTTGGGTTCTGTAATTCTGCTGCTGTTTTGTTCCTTCAGTTTTTCCTTTGTTCCTATACTCCTCAGATGAGTGAAATCATTTGGTATTTCTCTTTCTCCGCTTGGCTTATTTCACTGAGCATAATACTCTCCAGCTCCATCCATGTTGCTGCAAATGGTTGGAT